TAGCCTTCCAGAAAGCGGATTGCTCTGCTCTATCGTTCACAAACTTCTTAGTATCTAATCTAATTAATAGATTGCGGCTATGAAAAATAGAATCTAGTTAGAGAATAGTTTTAATTATTAGATATTACGAGTACTTTATTTTGAAGAGTTTATGTATCCTTGCGTATTATATGTATCGTGAATAGGAAATTATTTACTTCCACAAGATCATTCGTTGCAAGAAAGTGGCATAAATGAATTCCAAGAGAATTGTAAAGAAATTGTAACATTCCACATACTTTTCTTTACTCTTCGGTTTATAGAGACAGGTTTATTTTACAGAAGACAGAATGAAAGAGAAGTCGTTGCTAATCGAATCTCATTGTCGATGTCCAAAAATATCTACACATTTCAATGATCTATCCAGCACGATAAAAATGAAAATTGCGAAAACAGCGAGGAACTGTATATAGATAAAAATTGAAGGAAAGATAAAAAGGAAAGAAAGAATCTCACTGTCAATGTTCAGAAATTCTTACGTATTTCGATCATCGACCAGCAGGAAAATAAAAATTAGAAACGCAGCGACGGAGAGTATATAGGCGAACGTTGAAAGAGATACGAGATAGAGAGCAGGATAGGCGGAGAGCAGAGAAGAGAGCACATTACGTATTCCTCCGGCATCCCTCTTGATCTCCCCGCATTTTTATTGCACTTGCTGTTGGTAAGAATATGTTTTATTTATATTTCATATTTCTTTCTCTGTCTTCCACTGGCCGGTTTCGTGACCGCCACGAGAAAGACCGATTCCCGGGATTCGCACAGGGTGACCACGGGATACCAGCGAGATCGACAGGGGGATCTTTCCCGCTCTTTCATATTTCTGTTCCCTCTTTTCTTTTCCTTTTTTTTCTTTTTCCTTCCCACCGTACCCCGTAATTTCGCCTCAGCTTTCGATTCACGTCCCCATTCCACCAACCCAAACCCTGAAATCAGGCATATCTTCGTGGAAAGCTTTTGTCCAAAAGGTATCTCGCCGTTTCGAACTAGTCGCACGCATTGATAGGAATTGGAGAGAGGGCGCTGGTTTGACCCAGATCATTCGATGGGATCACGCGACAACCCTCACCCCCGTGTTTCGCTTGATTAATTGAACACCGTGAACGGTACTCGTGTTAATTCGTCGAAGTACTCCCCGCTTGTTATTACAACGCGGACATTATTTACCAGCCTGTGTTTGTTCGGCGACGGATTGTTGAAAAACAGGCCTGCAAATTGGAAAATTTGTGTAAAATTTGTGCCAGCCGCTCGCCACTCGTCACATAGTATCGCAGCTACGTGCATTTTTCATGCTTGTATTGGGTAATTGTTTTATGGAGATCGCAATTGTAGGCTCGATACTTAGGCAGTTTCGCGAGAAGCGGGAAGGGAGTGGAGCTTCGTTGACGCATTGCGCGATTGGCGGCGGATTGTTGAAAAAACAGATGAAAAAATTGGAAGATTCGATCATTCGTTCGTTACATTAGAGTTGTATTGCGTGCATTTTTTGGTATTTATATCGGTGAATTGTTTGACGCAGATTTACAATCTGGCTAGATACTTTGGCAATCGGGAAAAGAGTTGAGTTTCATCGATGGGTTGCGCAATTAGCGAATTGTTGAAAAAAGAGTCGACAGATTGGAAGATTTGTATAAAATTTGCGGCCGATACTCGTGATTCATCGTGCTGCGCGTATTACAGCTATGTGTGTTTTTTGCTTTATGTTTATATTGTTTGATCGTTTTATGGATATTTAGGCAGTTTCATGGGAAACGGGAAAAGAGTTGAGTTTCATCGACGTGTCACACAGTCGGCGGCGCGTAAACCCGGCCGAGGACTCTTTGTAACTTTTCGGGAGGGGTGTTACACGCAATTTGCCACACTTTCCTATAGTAATGACTTCCTCGGCCCCTTCGGCGTATTTTATGGATATCACACTGGCTGTGCATAACTTACAGCCCAGTGGACGGACACGATGCTCACCCTCGTTGAGCGTGAAGCGACCAGACGCCGGCAACCAAGAAGTAAATCACGTCTGTTGATCGTAAAACCGAAATGTTGAAGACTCGGCACGCGTTTATGGCTCGTATATTGCGTATTCGATATAGTCGCGTACTATTAATCCGCACATCTTTGATTCTGCTTCCTATCGATAAAATAAGAAATTTTAAACTTCACGTTTGTTCAGTCTCGTCGATATCCAAGTTAACGATTATATTTATATTTTTAATAAACTGACGAAAAGAAACTAGAATGATACTAAATGCTACGTGAATCAGTAATCACATATATTTGTTAAGTAAAGGAATAAATTATTATTCCATTTTATGTATGAATAATAATAAAATCAACTAATTTGCTCTAATTCGTTGGTTCCAAAAATTAAATTGTCATTGGTGTATAAAATAAGTAATGAAATAACAAATGTGGACATACATTGTTTATTATTCAACATTTTTAATTTTATTGGCAATTTATTAACTTTTTGTAAAGTATCTTCGGAGAAGCTACTTCATTCGATCTATTCTTCGAAGCTATTGTAACTGAGATCTCGTGTACCACTGATTCTGTTACATTCGCTCACCTAATTCGTTCCACGGATGCTGTAAGCGATTGGAAAGTTGGATTTGAAATGATCAAGGAACCAGCGATATATGCTTTTCATCTACACATTTTTCGACTAACTACCAGAGACAGCGAAGTAAATCGAGAGTTACGAGAGAAACGTATTCCGCCCATGCAGCGTGTTATCATTAAGATATACATCATAACCGTGTGAAAACGCAAGGATTCCTCGGCGAGGATCATTCGAGTAAAAGTACGTGAGCTGAAAATGCTCTCTACAGTCTGAGTAATTTCATTGCATATACGTGACACGGTCTCTCTCAGACGTCCTACGTTTGTGATATGGAAACATGAACGCGTACACGTTCAATTCATGTCCGTACGGACGTACGTACACTGGTTCGTAAAAGTATTCGAGACAATTTAGCATAAAAAATTTTACAGATATACTATGTGTGTCGTACGAAACTTTCTGAAATTTCATTACGTTTATTGCAAATGTATATTCAGTAAAAAGTTACTATACATCATGAACATCCGTCTTAAGCATATAATAAATGTTAAATACGGCCCCGCTAAAAACTAAGATTTATTAATATAATGGATAATTGACTGGTTAAATGTTTGTATAATCTCTAAGACACATATACGAGTACCTGTACTAAATATTTTGTAACTTCTTAAATTAATTTTGTGATTTCGAAATGCGGAAACTCGGCACACAATAATATTCACGAAAGGTTTACCCGTAATATTTAATCCTAATGTTCGAATACTTTCACGAATCTGTGTACAACGAGTTTGATTATTCTATGCAACGTTCACGATTCAATTTTATAGCGTTGAAGCTTAGGTAACGAAAATAATCCCATGTTGCTATAAATGTTCAAATATTTCCGTGTGCCACTGTACATAAGTACACGTGAAAGTCGTGTATCCAGTCGCGCGTGGGAATTTCGGATAATTTGATAAGGATTCATGTCAGCTTGAGATGCTTCTCTTCTCATGGACAGAGTAAGATTCCTTATTCAAGTCGCACACGCGCCGGATGGCTTTTAAATTCCGTGGCCCCCTTTGATGGGGACCGCTTTCGAAACTGCGGGACACAACAGCCACGTAAATCAGAAGTTTGATCCGTTGGACCAGCCAGGAGGCATAAATCACACGTGGAAATTATATTCCTTTTACCTTTCTCTCCTTTTTGCCCGCGTCTTTCTGTCAGGAAGAGACGTATCTTGTTTATGAAGGTCACCGAACAACATCGGAATTAAGACTCCGAGGGGCTACGCGTTTCACCTGTCTAATCCTGTTCGCTTCAGAAATTATGTTTCCGCGGTGAGATTCGTGTGGAATAATGTCCCGTATATTTAGTCGACGCTGATGGCAGGATTCCTTTATATGTTATGAAAGCGAATTATCGCAAGACACATAACGTCTTCCTAGGTTAAATTTGGCTTTTTTGAAAAAATACTGCGCATAATGTCTAAATGAGTCATACATTGGTCAAAGTAGTAGAGATTATAAAATTAATCAGATAATATGAATTTCAAAAATGAAAATGAAAGATTGAATGAATGAAAATATAATATGAAATGAAAGAAAATATAATAATGAATATTTCTTCTATCGTATCGCATATCTATGAAATGATACGTAGCATAATATAATTATTTTTCGGTAATTTTTTCTGTAAAGTATGTTTGTAACGATGTATAATTGTATTTTAGAAAATAAATCGTAAGGCTACCTTTTTCCACGAAAGACATTCAAAATTCAAATATCGTGCACGTGATATTTCAGTCACGTGACTGTTCAAAAACTTGACATCTATCAGTCTTACAGAGTTATATTTTTCACGTTTAATTTATACTTTCATAGTTCCATTCGTTGTAACACGCAACCGTATTTATGAATTTCTTTGAAAATGTAATTTAAATATCGCGCGCAATGTGAATAATATAAACTGTCGCGTTTCGAAGGATAAATAAAGACGCGGGAAACACGTGTGGCGTGTGGTCATAATCACCAGATGTTTCTTTTCGCTTTAATCAGTCTTAATCGATGCTTGTGATTTATGTGATTAGTGCAGTGATCGTATTCATCATCTACACGGGAGCCAAATTAAAACTAGAAGAGTGGTTTGAAGAAACAAAGTATGTAACTGTACACGTGATAATATATGATTTTTTAGGTTATATTAGCTTATTGTTCTGTTTCCTCAGATTTTTGCATTCATTTTGTATGACATTTTATGGATATCATTAAAAAGACTTCACAGTGATGCAGTAATTGTTAAAACAATTCTTAAGTTGCAAGACATCTCTAAAATATCATACATTTTTTTATTTCAAGATACTTGTTTAAGTATCATTCGTTGTTTGTTGATTCTAGCTTATTGTGCATATTTTTGTTCATAGAATGAGTAGATTACGTCTGAAAAGAAATGATTCGACGTACGAAAGATCCCAGGTGAAAAGTTTATGTCCAGAAAGCCCAAATAATATCGAGATATCTTCTGATGAAAGTGATATTATGCCAACTAATGAGATAATAGAAAGTGAAAAGGATTCTTCAAATCCATCGATAACAGATACAAGTTACGACGAAGAGACACTATCTAAATTTCAAAAATCTACAGATAGTATAAAATCAGATGAAGATATTAAAGAAGTTACGTACAACACAAGTTTGAAATCCAAGACTTCCATGTTTAACTGGAACCAACAAGGCCCAAGTCCAAAAAAAAGAAACATGCACGATCACAGTGATTCCAATTCTTCTGACGATTTCAACTCAAAACCATCATGGTTTAAAAAAGAGCAGGAAAAAAAGAAACACAAAGGTAGTCACATTAAACAAACCAAAATTAAAGATGAACCAAACAATAAACAAAAAGAAGAAACTGTGGCTCAAGTGAGTATACAACACGAGCAAATGATATCTGGAATTAAAGTAAAGCTTCCTGTGAAGCCTTACTCGTGTCAGGTGGCTGTAATGAATCAGGTAAGAATTTTTATAATTTAAGTATCTAATTGAAGAGATGGAATATTGGTAAAATGATTTATTAATGGTAAATAATAATTGTATTTTTACAGCTCATACAAGGTTGTATAAAACAGGAAAATTGCCTTCTAGAGAGTCCAACAGGAAGTGGGAAAACTTTGGCTCTTCTTTGTGGTGTCCTGGCGTGGCATGATCATCATGTTGGTGAGTTTAATTAATTTTTTAATTAATTATAAATTATATACACAATAGTTTTATATTATTACATAATTATATATATTAAATAATATAATATATATTGTATTATTACATTATTATATATAAATTATATACATCAACATATTACAAATTTTCAATGTCTTATCGGGCAATAGAAAAAATGAACCTACGTGTATCGAGTACGGAACCACTCTATTTACGGTCACGGTGTTGATATTGTTTGCAAACTCTGACGCATATCTGCGATCTAATTCAGTCCGCATGTCAAAGTCATTGAAACAGTTTTGTAAATTAAACCTGTCTTCTCGCGTCATGTCTTTGTTCTATTTTACCGATAACTCGTATTTCGTATTTACTTTTCGCAATAACTTCCTGATAATCGGTTATTAGATCGAAATCGCGTTCGATCGAAAACGTTTCACCTCATTGCGACAGATTTTCGAGTGTTGTACAAATTCCAAACTTGAACACAGCTGTCTGCTTTACTTTATTAAAGTTTCCTCGAGTTTTGCTCGAAAGTTCAGGAAGTCTCGCAGACAATTTCTTAACGCGTCAGTACAACAAACGACGTGCTCTGTCTCGCGGGAGATGCAAAATGTTCCACGTCGCGCCACGTCTTCGTCGTTTAAATTGGCCGGCTCGTCGCTGCTCGAGTTCGCGAACTTTTCGGGAACTTGTTACTGTCGTGAACGGTCTCGAGAAATGATTGGAAAATTAACCATCTATTTAGAATAAACATGTAGTAGCTTTTACATGTCTGATGCAAGGACGGCTTCCATGGAAAAACGTGGTGAGTAAATACTTGCATTCCAAAATTCATTTACATGTATTTATTTAATATTAAGATTTTATTTATGAATTAGAATGTAGAAAGTTAGAAATCTAGAGTTCAAGCTTTCTGATTATTGTACATACTTTCTTCCATACGAAATATGGTGATTCTAGACGATAATTTAAGTTTCTATCCTAGTAAACCAAGTTTTCTTTAGAATTGAAAGTCAATGCAGTGAAATAATAGGAATCCAGATATTTTCTCATTCTAATACATACTAAATATTCGTAAGTGAAAAAAAGGAAAATTCGAATTTTAGCAACCAAATGGACAATAGATACAATCGGTGTACCTTTGTTTGAAAATTTACTTATTTTAGTCGTTAATCTTTATAAATCTATATAATGTTCATTTATATTATTATCTTTTTATTATCATTTTTCGTATCTTTCATCGTTGTCTTTTACCCTAAACAAGTTTGATGCATCGAACAGACGAAAGAAAAATTTGTGCGTTGTCAGTTTCAATTTTCCTCTCCAATTCTCAATTCCCAATACGAGAAACAACAGAATCAATTTTCTCGTCCAATAAAACAAAGAATCGCCAGCGTAGACTTAAAAATCGAACAAGACTTTTTGTATTAAGAGGTTGAATTTCCAATACAGGAAATAAAAAAAGAAAGTATCAATTTTCTACAGCAGTCGTTATCTCCGATAAAATAAAGAGTCGCCAAGATATAATTAAAACCTCACTCGAAATCGCTCGAAGCAGGAATTTATGTGGCGTGCGGAAAGTACGAAGCGTGTAATCAAGGACTTTAGCAGCACGAGAAGGAGAACGTTTAAGAAGTTCCGTGGTGGAAGTCGGGGTGAACCGGCTGTCAGCTTGTCCTCCGGCTGTCCTATTAATTTAAATTATTCGACCATTTCGGTTAGCCCTTACGTTAGCCGGATTCCGTGCTTGTTTTCACGGTGCATGCCGCTAATTGGTCGCGATTCGCGCAATTCCTAAACAATTAGAATCGAGATTGGATGTCGCAATCGCCTCGTCCTTACCGGTACCAGCTCGCGAAAGGACGACGACGCGTCCTTTCCGGGTGGTTTCGCGTCTGCGTTTTACCATTCGGTTATTATTTCGCATTTGCATAATTGCTCGGCTACTTTACTTTGTCGCGGTAGTTTTCTCCACTGTGGAAACTATCGTTGGCGGTTGATTTAGGAGCATGAAATGGCAGCGTTGCTAAAATTAGAGGTATACCGAAGAACGAAAAATTACGAGCATTTGGAATTTCCAATGTTTCGTGTCATGTTACTTCGTGAAGCTAATTTTGGCTGTTCGATGTAATAAACGTAAAATTTGGCAATAGAGGAAAGTAATGATCCAAGTTTCTTCTGTAATTCGTGGACTGAGGATGTTCGTGCGTGTGTAGGAAGTTTAAGTGTGCGAAAGTGTACAGGACAGATATACATTCTGTGTAAATTTAATTATTCGACTTTGCGTACTTCAAATTTATTGTGTATCTTATACGTTATACTTTACGTTTGTATCACAATAATAGTATAATTATATTGTATAAGAATTATTATTAATATATCTATTCCATTTTCTTATTTGCATTTATAGAAATGTGAATTCGCATAAATATTCACAGTCTATTAAATCGTGACACGATGACCCTGAAACGTTTCTTTCGATTGAGATTCTTCAATGGTTGTGTAATATTTCGCAATAATGTGAATCATAGAATTAATAGTGCATAATATGAAAATTATCTTTCATATGTTTTTCCAAGGAATAAATATGACGCGAGAATTGTATCTAAAATTGATCGTCGAAGAGAACAATCTGAGATTCGTAAACGTTTTATCTGATGCTTCTTACAGTTCGAGGAGAGGAAAAATGAGCGTTCTCTATCGACAATCGCGTCATTTCTTATCTGGCAGGAGAGTCGCGACGCAGACGGGCCATTGTCTCTCTGAAAATTCTTTGGGGGTGGGGTTAGGTTCGAGAGTCGGGCCCGATGATTCACAAACTCTTCAGGGGGTTACGTATCATAGCTCGTGATCTTAATATTCGACTGGATACCGAATGGAGACTATAACGTCGCTTCTTCTTCCTTCTATTCGTGATATCTATCGCCGAATTGTGTAGCAGCTTCTGATAAGCTCTGAACGATTTATTAGATATTCATTAGTAAAATATTAATCGTATAATTGAGAATCTTAATACTGAAATACTAATGCGATTAAAGCAACAAGTCTTTAATACTAGCGTCATCAGAGTGATCAAAGTGATGGATTTGTAATTTTATAGATTCCTACCATTCTGTATTCTTGGAGACTTAAACGATTTTTTATAAAATATATAAATAATGTCTTAGTTTATTTTTCTTCTTGCATTATACATCTTAATTGTCCGTAGTTTCAGTATTAAAAAAAATGTGTTATTCAGGATTTGGTTGATTTTTTGGACGAAATTTTGTCCCGCTTCTTGCGTTATATATTTTGTTATATATTTTTCACGTTTCTTTGGTACAAATTTCGTATTTTAGTCGTCTGTAATACGTAAGATTAGAGTACGTAATAATACGTAATAATACGTAAGAAAGAATACGTAATTTGTATAAATTTCATATAATTTATATAACAAAAAGATTGTCTTTCTCTGCCACATTAATCGTCGATGAAAAATTTCTGCATTTTCACGAGTGCTTAAATTTTGTTCATCCACGATGAGAAACACAGTGCACTGTGTATTTTCCCATTGAAAACGTCGAAGGAGCAATTGGAACAAGTCAGGAAGCGCATCGTTCCGCTTCCGAAATCACGGATGGAACCTCCCCGGGTTTCCTCCTCCGCCTTCTCTTCCTTCTCTCGTGACAACGTCCTCGTGAATCTGGAATTATCGAGCACGTGAAACCCCTTTCCGCTTGGCGGATCGAATGTGTCCTAGCGTGGAGGAAGGAAATCCTGGGATTAATTGGTACCTTTCTGATGCTAGCGTATCATCGTTGCCAGCAGTTTCCCTCGCGTTTCCACGCTATGTCGCGTTGCTAGGGGAAAATCGTGCAAGGTGTTACGTACTCGTTTCAATCAGAAAATGACTGAATCTTTGATCTCTGGATTGAAAAATAATAGTAGTAACATAGGAAGATAATACAGATCAGATATATTACATAATAGCAGGATTTTATTCTTCAGTAATTTTTAAATTAAATAATTTTTATTAATTTCTCTATTATGGATCGTTTTTCCGATATTTAACATTAATTGTGAGAAATCTTGGAGAAAATACGTTATACAGGGCGTCACGAAATATGTGGTAGATATTTATAGATTATATCGTAGGTATTAAAACGACGAACAAAATTTCTATATAAAAACGTGCGGCGATTCGATAGGAATAAGGATGATCAAAGTTATCATTGCTTAATATTAATCAGTGTAAAATCTCGCAGAATTTCTTCTCTTTTCCTACTATATTAATATAACAGGTAATAGATTGTTTAATTATTTTTGTCATCTCCGTGAAATATATAATTGATATTAAATACACCTTGTGTTTCTAATTCCTGTGTATGTATACTGCCACATGTGTTTCACATTTTACCAATATAATCACGATAGTCGGGTCTCGTAACAGTGCCAGCGAAATTTCAAAATTGTGCAACCATAACACACTTAACGTACTCGTAAAAAAGATGTGGAACGAGCGTTCGAATATTTTCCTACTTCATATTGAGCAAAAATTGGCTGTTTGGTGCCCTCGAACGTGATCGAAAGAGGCGCGTGCGGATCCCCGGCGGCCTACTTTGATTTCAACACTCGTGTCGCGCGACACTCGATACGCTTTGTAGTACGCATTCGTAATTAGGCGAACGAAAGAGTGTACTGCGGTGCCTCGATTAGCGTTAGTCATGACAGCCTGTCCCTGCGACTCGGCCCGGGCACGACATGCTCCTTTTTCCAGTTATAATTCCCTTGCTCCTTTAAATCTGCCACTGTCACGCTCCAGCACGGAGGTCGAGTGGTACTGCTAGCCGCCGAAACGCCGTAGACTCGTGTGCCCTCAGAGAGCGGAAATAAATCATTAGCTCCTCCAACCACTGCTAGAAAATTCTCCCTATGACGTTGGTTTAATCGATACACACGATCCACGATGACCATCGAGGTTGCGCACAGTGCGACATTTGAATGAGGATTCGGGACAAGGA